TGCAAAGAAAATGCTTTAAATGGAAAACTTGAGACCAACAAGCATCCATTTTATACAAATGCGATATTTTATGCAAGGTGAGCATTCACACAAACGTAATATACATATTTACACGCGTTCCAATGGCCTACGGCCTCAATGGTTGCTAAATATAAAATATCACCTATTAAACCTTAAATTTTGCCTAAAATGGCTTTTAAAAGAGAAACTTGAAACTAATAATTACAAAATGGTTTTAAAAGACCATTTGGCCCTTGTCCACACTTCATACATAAATGAAAGACCCTATGGAAATGCTAAAGCGCACTTCCCACCACGCATGCAAATGTAGTGAAGTTGATACATGCCATTTTTCTATTTTTCAATAAAATCACATAGAAATAAACATACTTAGAATACAAAATGAAAGTCCTTGGCCCATGGCCTTATTACATACATGTCAAATACATCCCAAATGGCCCACTTAAGTGCTCATTACATATTTAGAACCAAATATACAAGTTTTGACATTTTAAATCAAAAGTAACATTTCATGCTAACATTTACATGAATTAAATACATTTAAAAGAACTTCGAATCATCAAAACAACCTAGGGATGTTGTGCATCCCTGAACCACGTCTTCTTGCCTGAAACAGGTCGCATTCAGCAAGGGGTGAGTAACCTGTATTACTCGTAAGGAATGAGTATGCATAGACCTAACTTTTTACAAGTTTATCACATTAATGTGAAATAATTCAAAATGCTCATGCCACCTAACGTCTATGTCGAAAGTGAGACTCAGGGATCATCCAAAAGTTACTTTAAAACATTTCTAGCATAAACCACAATACCTATGCAATTAAACAATACAAAAACATGTTATACAAAGCAACAAGATATAGATTCTCAAAGTCATCAACTTGAAATTTAAAATACGAAATCAACTAAAGTGATTCATGCCACCTAGCGTCTATGTTCCAAAGTGAACTAAGGGATTATCTCAACTACTTAAATGGTTGAAATGAAATACAAAAAAATACACAAGTCTCTAAAGCAATTTTAGAACTTTATAAACAAAAATCACAGGTCACAATTAAGCATTGGTTGCCAACTTGTAATTAAACGAGAAATCAAATAGCGGAATATCTTGGACATCAAATCCCGGAATAGAACCAATATGTGGCAGTGGATCGGGCTACTAACGCACGGAAACAACCCAAGTGCGCACTAAACGTCAACAGTTACTTCGGGCTACTAACCCCGAGAACAACCTAAGTGCGCATTATATTTTTAGAGGGAACTCTCATCCCCCATACTAGGACTTTGCCCTAGCCATGTCAAATTGTGTGATGTCCCAAGTGTTTCCAAAATAAGTTTAAAACTTATACAAAATTAAATAATGTATAGAAACCGCCTTCCACGCACAAGTAGAGATGAAACCACACAAGTCATGTCCTAGAGTTTCAAGTCTACAATGACATTAAAAATATGGAATCTTCAATGTGCGATTCGTTACACACTATAGAAATATTATTCCAATATTGAAAACATAATCTCATGAATATAATACAAGCCTAAAATTATGATTTAAACATTCGATCAACGTCAAATACATGATTAAGTCACTAATGCAATAGAATCGAAAATCAATTACATAAACTAATTAATTTCTCTAGATTTCAAATCTCATCCAAATAATCCCTAATTAACATATGTTAAACAACATAGCATGATCATTATATATATCAATTCAAAAACTTAATTAGGTCATTGGAACAATTAAATAGATTCTAATTAATTCATTTAATTGAAATCTCTAGATTTTAAAACTCATGCAAATGCTCTCAAATTGAGCTATGTTAAGGAATATGTCAAGGCTTAATTTAACATCACATTACAAGTTACTTCCATGCAAGATACAACCATGAGAATTAAACTTTCATACAAGAAAATAATTAAATAAAAGTCTCAAAACCTATTCAAATATTCTCAATTTAATATATGAAAGAACATAGTATGCTCATTAACAATATCAAGTTAAAAATTCAATTAAGTGATTAGAACACTTAAAATAAAATTAATTAATTTTTTCTAGATTTAAAAACAACTCTAAATATTCTCAATTTAACCTATGTTAAAGAACATACCAAAGTCTAATTTAATATCATATTACAAGTTGATTCCATGCTAGTTACAACCATGTGAATCAAATTTTTATACAAGTGAAAGATTAAATAAAAGTTTCAATACTTATTCAAATGCTCCCAATTTAATATATGTTAATAAATATATCAAAGCCTAATTTAATAGCACACCACAATTTAATTCTAAGCTATATACAACCATGATAATTAAATCTTATACAAAAAAAAAATAATTAAATTAAATTGTAGATAAAATACATAGGTATGCATACAAGTTGTATAAGCTTATAAAACAATCAATACAATAATTATATAAGCCTAAGACATCTCCTACCTCCATTTGAGATGAAATCTCAAATCCCACTGAAAGGAAACCGCTCTGAATCCAATAAAAAAACCTACTTGTCATATAACTATTGTAATAATAGATATATCCATAGAGGAATATGTAGAGATAAGAATCATTTCATCCACGCCCTTGCAGGAAAAGGAGACAACTGACGAGTTTTTCTCTAAAAGTAAAGTTGCACATTTCGAGGAAATCAACTGGAATGAAAACTCACGAAGTCAAAACTCAACTCTGAATACGAAAAGCGAGGTTATGCCAACAAAGTGACAAACGGGGAAAAGAACGAAAAGTGAATAGTATCCAAAAAATAAAAATGTGAAAATGACGCGATCCTTTAAGGAAGTTGTCAATCTAAAGGAAAGAGTCTCGGAAACCATTTCCGAACACTCGAGATGACATCAAGTGACGAGAAACCGTACTCGGAAAAGAAAAATCAACGGAAAAAAAATATTCTTAAAATTTGAGAAAAAAAAAAAAAAAAAGAAGAAAAAGGAAAATGACCAGGTCATTACAAAAAGTATAACATTGATATAGATTATGAATGATGATTGAGATAAAAATAGTGAGAGATGGGAAAAACAAAAGTTATAACCATTTAAGTAAACAGAAGTGTATATAAGTATTAAAAACAAAAAACAAAAATACATATAAAAATTTTATACATTATTAAAAGTAAGTTATTCCTAAACATATTCAAAATAATTTTACAACAATGGGAGAAGAGTGGACTTGGCTAGCCTTCCCAAAGCTTCTCATGCCCGCTTCTCTCACGAACATCACATAAATTGCCCTTAAAACCATTCCCTCAGCTTCAGAGGTCATAAAACACAAAAACACTTCCTCTCTCCAAATCTAACACCTTAACACAGTTACACTGGTGTTCTCATTGAACATTGAAATCAATAACGTTTTGGAGTAGCGCTACGGCTTCGAAGTCGAAAAAGTCCGAACCCTAAACATTGAAGGGAAGAAGAAGAATGGTGGATTGTTGATTGCGAACTTGTTTCCGATTCGTGTGATCGAGTAGGAGAAGTGGAATTTGAATTAGCAGTTCAAGTCGAGCATTGTGGAGGAAGGGGAAGCGAAGTCGCATTGGTTGGACGGCGGGGACGTTGGCAGGTTTAAGCCGGAGAAGAGTTCTGAGGCTGTCGTGGCAGCGATGGCGGCTGCGGCGGCGAAGTTCCTGTGGAGAAACATGCGGTCTTGTAGGTAGTTTCTGTTTTGGTGTTTGAGAATTGGAGGATATCTGTTTAGTTTTGTTGCTCAAAATTGGTTTCTGGTTATTCAATGAGTAGTGTCTAGTTGATAATGTTGAAATTTCTTCTTCGCAGCTTTTATCTATCTGTTGTAGTCCCTCTCTTCATGTGGCATATGGATATTGATTTTACTAATTATATATTATTTCATGTTGGCGATTTGTTATGATTGATTGAGGTTCTATAGCTGTTAAATGTGAATTTTGATTTGGGTTTTTTATGCATCTTCTTTTTGGGGCTTCTTTTTAAGCTTAAAAATGACAAAGTTTCTAATTTATTTTTTGTTATTGATATCACATGATCAAATTTTGAAGTTCTTAGGCTTTGGAATGTGAATTTAATGGGTTCTTTTACTTTATTGGAGGAGTTTTAGGATTCATTGATATGAGTTGATGATGTTTAAAGTATTTCTTTGTGAATTGGTTGAAACTTTTGCTTTCTCAATGATATTTTATCTACAAAAGAAACTACTAGAGTTCCTGTTCTCTTTATTATTAATTACGATATGACCAATTGAGACTGGATTTTTAGCTGTTTGTTGTGAACTTTTAGGGCTAACTTTTGATGAAATAGCAAGGACAGAATTTCTATGGAGCTTTTCACGCTGTTTATGGTTATCCATTTAGATTAATTGTCTTCAGTAGATTATAGTTTTATGTTGTGATTTACTTTGCCGCATTTAGCCTGTTAAAATACTTTGCCGTCAAATCATTTTGAGTGTGAGGATTCATTATGGTGAGAGGGTGATATTGCAATTTGCAAGTAGGAAAAGATTGATGCTTGGGTCTGTTCATATATCAAAGAATAAAAAAATAAAATATGACAGGACCTCATATTATGATTAAGCTATGAATGGGACTAGGTATAATTTTACTCAAATATTAGCATTCCTTGGCTGCTTCTATCATTATTAGATTCTCAATTTGCTGCATTTGTATAGGGTCAAGGACTACTCAACTTCCTTGGTTACATTACTTGAGATTTTTTTGTAAGCATGATTCTTAACTAGTTAACTGTTTGCTACAATTCATGCCTTTAAGTAGACAGAGAATATATGATCTTTATAGTGACTAAAGCATCATTGTCCAGATGTCGACTTCACTTGTAGTTCAACTTTCATAAGACTGTCCACTTAAATTTTTACCTGAATTCGTTGCACGAACCCTAAGTAGTGACTGTCCTAAGTAGTGACTGTTACGATGGTTGTGAATTAAGTTAAATGCATTCTGTTTGATATATGACTAATGTAAAAGACAGTGCCATCTCCGTCTGGATAAAACATTATGTTATAAAAGTGAATTTAAAAGAAGAATATGATTAAGATTACATATGTGATATATCTATATGCTTGAGCTATTGTCCACCAATATGAATTCTCACATCTTTTTATAAGTGTGAAGCCAAGGAGAAATAAGTTAAAACACCAATTGTGAGACCTGCAATAAACCTTATTTGACAGAAGCACCCAGCAATGGGAAGAAGATGCATAGGATTAGGCTACATTTCTAATTTATGTTGTAGGATAGTGAATTTTGAGATATCTCAGGAGAGGGATGCCCGGCGGAAGCTGACTCTGCAGCCTGTGGGGTTGGATCTTTGTTCCCTCTCTGCTGTTTCATCACCATCCACTTTTCCATGGAAAAGAGAAGACTTCTTGATCTTCTTCCACCCAGACATCCAACCTGATAAATTCTTTTGCTTGTGGTTTAGCTTTTCATACTCTTGTTGCAACTCCGAGTAATCTCTCTGCATCTCTGCCATTTCCATTTTTACTTTCTCCAGTTCTGCTTTAAGGGTCATGATATCCTTTTTGGTTGATGACCAACTATCTTCCTGGTCTGAAATATTACCACTTGCTGCTTGCTCCTTCCCCTGCATAGCTACCCTTATCTTGACTTGCTCTGAGAACAAAACCTGCAAGTCTCATCGTCCCTTCTTTAGATAGAAAATTTTAATTTTGAACCATAGTAAACCAATTAACACTGAACACATGGTCATTTATTATAATTGATAGTCATGTAAGTGGGGTTTGTGTTTTAACAAAATTAGACTTCTTCTTGGTGTGCTCTCTTCATAGTAATTACAAATTACCAACTAGTTGCATTGCAATTTTTTTTTTTTTTTTTAATCTGGAGATATATTAAAAACTCGCTTTAGGTTTCTGAAATGAATCTGACAAATCTAAAGTTTTTGGATCATCAATAACTCTCTATTGTTGGGGTTGCTGGCATCAATAGTGACAAACAATTACAAATACCCATTTCCAGTTATTACTATTTTTTAATACATAATAATATACAGGCAAAAAGATTTCAATGGGTGTATAAGGTTTTAATTTATGGACCCTGTGATGAACCTTACCTAACAACTGACAGTTTTCCGTATGGAGCTACTGTTGCAGTTTGATTTGCAACTGATGTGGATGGGAGAAGACAGTGACAATAGAAATCTCAGCTGCAAGGTTTTATAGGATGATTTGGTGCCAATATGGATAATTGGCAATTTGTGTTGTTATGTAAGGCTTATATACAAGCCTGACCACACGTAACTTGGTATTACTAGTTACAATATTGACTGTCCAAACAAGGTATTACTAGTTAGCACATGGTTTCGGATGTTTTCTTAATCTTTATGTAACTGTGATATATGGTACTCAAGAAGTTTTAGTTACTGGCTTCTTTCCAGCATTTTTTATTTTATGTGATCATATTATTATGGCACGATTGCAACATTTTCAGACACTAAAGCTTGGTTTTGCCAAGTCATAAACATAAACCTCTATATGCTAATCCTTTTTTTTTTTCCTGGTAAATAGCCTTTTTATGCTTATCTGTTCGTCAAATGTTGCATGTTTCTGTTTTCTTATGATTGCTAATTTATTAATTTCTTAGGTGCCTAGTTGGTTGATGAACATCAAATAACATGGTCATGCCTTAGATTTAGGCATTGTTTGCCATCAATTCAGAATTCATATCAGAAAAACATATTTAAGTTCCTTGGTTTACTCCTTATAGTTATTCCAAGATTTTTTTAATTATGTTTTATTTTTACATTATGTATAGAATAAATTGCTAAACAGACAATAACTTTTTTGCATGTACCCTGAACCAATTTGGCAACAACCCTCTGCCATCATATCGCCACAAAATTACATTTTACTCCTTGACACACACAACTAATATTTTTGCTGTTATGACCATTATGCATTTTAAAACATTTTGTTCTTGACCTGTTTGTGATGATCCAATACTGTGAAACCTTATCAATTACCCATTTTTAATTTGATTTTAAAAATAAAAAATCTAATTTACCCTTTCTTATGAAATTAGAAAGTCCGTTTTTCTCTTACTCTGTTTCTAATTCCAATCCTCCCCTTAATAAGCTTCATCTTTTACTTTCTCATTGAATGGAGTTCTCTCTTAAACTCTTCAGTGCGCATTCCAGAATGCCAGCCAAAGGAAACTTATGGGATGGGAGAAATTGAAACCTGAGATCAGTTGATCATCACAGATGATGAAACGATCCAACAGTGAAGGCTCCATCCCTGATTCGGCAGATGAATCAGAAAAACCTTTGCCGATTGGAGAATCAATCTGGTGGTGTATGTAGTCTCCAATGCGGCCAGTGGAGGCAGATATAAAACAAATCATATATCTGTGCCAATCTTTGGAAAGGGAAACATGGCAGGCACACTGGTATTGCTTTTAACTTTGGAACTTAATTCGTTTGGCAGTGTTAAGACCTCAGTATTAGCTTTTGTACAATGCGGATTGATGCCCGAATAGATATATTTAAGTCCAGGATCATATGCAAATTCTACCTGAATGATGGTTCTTAGAGGCAGTCGATCATTTTGCGCAGCATGCATGCATGCATCAAGTGACAGCTTTTTGCAGTCCATTACTTTGCACAGTCTTCTTCGGTCATGCTCTGACAGTGAAGGATGAGTCTGTGATGAAGATTAGAAAGTTGACTTTATGATATTGCTTATGTGAAAAGTAGTTAGATCATGAGGGATAAGAAATATAACCTTGAGGTAGGTATCTATAGCTCTATATAGACCGTCATCACATGTTCGAGCATTTTCTGGCAAGGCTTCAGCCAAAACTTGGAACTTGGTAATGGAGAGATTCGGGTCTCTTGCTATCTCTGCTAGGTAATTGTCCAAAAGTTTGCTAACTTTCACTTTTCCCGACTTTTGTTGTGGCTGCTGATGGTCATGCTGTTGTTGTTCATGCATTAAGAAATAGTCTATAATTCTTTGCACCACATCAATGTTATGCATCGTGCGTTCTTCAGGTGAACTGTACCAGCCCGTAATGACATTGATAAAAATGTTAGTAAAATTAGTCATTAGAAAATCTATTCTGCATACTTGCCATGTGAATTATTGAGACAGATAAAGCACTCTTAAGAAGAAAAAGAGAAGGTAGAGTACTCACTTAATTGGGTCCCCTTGATCTCCAATTCTACAGCTAGGAATCAAAAGGTCATTCACATTGGCATTCTCTAACACCATACCCACTCTTTTCTCAAGCTCCGAAATCAAAGCTGGTGATGCTGAATATGCTATAGCCATCTTTAACATCCACAACAAGAATTTACATGAAGCAGCTTCTTTTTGAGGAGGCAGTATGCTCACCAAACTCTCTATAATCATTCTTTGGTCCTTATTGTTCCCAACAGCTCCTTCCTGCCTCCTACCGCTCGTAATGCTCAATTGCAACTCACTTTTTCCGTAACTATATTTTCTTATTCCCTCTAACTCTATATCCATGCAAGGCAACCATTTCTCTGCATATTGCATGATACAAGAACCTATAGTTTCTGGCTTCATTCCTTTTGCCCTTATTGCAGTTATAATCCTCATGAAATGATTTATTCGGAGGGTAGCCACATCCTCAACCCACCAGCTTTCTTCATTAATCGTTTCTCCGATTGTTGGATTGCCCTGGGAAGCTTTCCAAGCAATTGAGTCGCAACATCTTCGGACAATTTGGAGGTTTTCTGCCCATGGAGACAGAGTTTCACAAGATTTGAGAACAGTAATGGTTTCTCTCCACGAGGAAAGGACAACGAATGTGAGGAAAGCTTCTGCCTTAGCGATAAGGTTTCCGTCTTCGAACTCTTCAGTCATCTCTAGAAATTCTGATGCACATCTTAGTGAAGCCACGTTGTTAGGGTTTAAGCTTACTGGGAGACCATAACAGAATTTCAAAATGATTTCAAATGTTTCCGGTCCACCTGGGAAATTCTCAAGCTTGATGTCGTACCCTAAATTTGAGTTTGAAGGCTGGAATCCTATTCGGCCTATGAAGCCACATCTTGAAATCAGCGGAAACTGCAAGGAGAGAGAGATGAGATAGCAAATAGTTCAATTCTTGTTCGTGTTTGTTCATGTTTTATAGGTTGCTCAGAATATCCTACAATTGTGTATTCCTGCTGTTGCTTGTTACAAGATTTTTAGTGAGAATGAGAGTTGTTTATGTTTCTTAATCTCATTTTCAGATGTTAGGGTCCTTTGAAAGAAAAAACAGGAAAAAAGAAAAGAACATTTCAGTTAAACATTTGTAACACATAGAAATGAAGGAAATTCTAAGGAAAAGTTGGAAATGTTTAGAAACCTAAAAATGTCAAGATCAACGAGAATCAGATTGACTAACAGGCCAGTGGTCTAGCGGTATCAGCTTCTTACCTCTCAAAGGGAGGTCAGGGGTTTAAGTCATAGAAGAGACGTGTGTGTGAGAACCAATTATGATAAAAAAAAAAAAAAGAAAAAAAAAAAGAAAAAAAAGAGGAATCGGATTGCTGGTGCCATAAGAGGTCTAGTTGTAAGAAAAGGGTGATCATATCCAATAGACTAGTAATAAATATGTGTGTTTAGGTGGCGGTATGATTGAATTGAAGAACATATTTTGGCAAATTTTTTTCAGAAGTTTACAAAATATTGTTAAGAATTTTGTAAATTATTTAATTTACATACAAATATGACAAGTAAAATCATTAGAAGTCCTTTCGAACGCCTATGTCATCATTTCAGAGAAAAATAGAAAAAATGGTGAATTTATCATGGCCAAGTTGTGATTTAAATAATAAGACTACGATTCCTCGTGTTCAACAATTTTATCATTTTATATTAGAACACTGCATAAAAATGAGTTGAAATTTTTAACTAAAATTTTCAAATACTAGGTCGGTTGTGTCACGCCACACATTGATGATTAAAACAAATTTGGACCTGAAGTATAAACTAAAAAGTAGGAAGACTTTTCCTTTCTCCTTTAATAATTTATATACATTGACAATGAAAAAAGTGAACAAAAATTTTCATAGTAGAAAAATGAAAAACTGGGCTTTCTTGGTTAATTTGTAACTATGGAATAGTTTTCTAATCTTGGAAAACATAAAATAGAAAATTGTACAAAAAACTACTTGGTTCAGTTTTTTAAAAACTCAGTTATAAAAAGATCTATTTTTAGAAAATAATCTTTTATAACTTTTCGAAAACTGTTATCTGTTTTTTGAGTTTTTGATAACTGTTTTCAGAATTATAAACCAAGTATGTCCGGTTTGCTTGGTTTATAACTCTGAAAACAGTTCTCAAGAATTCAGAGAACAGAAAACTGTTTTCAGAGAACAATCTTATATACTTCAGGTATTTTTATAATTGAGTTTTTAGAAAATAGTTTTCTGAAAACTGAACTAAATAGAAATTTTTATACTGTTTTCTGAGAATAGAAAATGATTTTCACAGTTAAAAACCGGCAGACCCTTTTTCTAATGAATCGTTTTATTTCTAATAGCAGTTATTTGGTCCTATATGAACTAGTCAGTTTATATGTCAAATTGACATGAAATTATGTCCTCCAGTCTACAATCTACAAATTTCTGATTGTGAATCTTTTTTGTGTTCAATCCACTTCAAATCATCACAGATGTGGCTGTGTCCAAGAAAAAGTAAACACAAACTTTCTTAAGATTATCAAATGTTCATGTTGAGTCTGCAAGAGAAACAATGTGAAATGATGTAATGAAAAGAAGGGAAAGAAAATTATCTTTTTCTCTTTTGAATAAATATTCATAGTCTGTTTTTGAATTATCCATTAAAATTGTTTCAACTCATCTCTGTTACTTGGACTCTCAAAAATAGTGAAATACTTGTGTCAGACACATATCCCTCGGATATGGGTATGGAATATACGTCCGACACTTTTGATTGGACATATAATTAAAAAGCATATCCTATCATTTAATTACATTTTATGATTTCTTTAAAATGAGTTAAATGCCTATATTGAATATTAAATTAGATAAAAACATTACTTTACTCTATAAAATAAAATAAAATAATTAATAAAATGAATATTTAGTAACTTATTGTCCTTTTGTTTGGAGATTTGACACGTCTTAAGCATGAATACATACCTGAGACCGACACCCGTACCCGAGTCCATGTAATATAGCAACTCATTCAAGCAAAGATTGTGTGCTTTGTTTTGTAATTACAAGACATGTCGTGTCCCTTTTCTCTTTTCTCTTTTTATTTTATTTTATTTTTTTTGTCGTGTGTGTGTGTGTATGTTTTTATTTATTTATTAAAAGTTACCTTGTGAACGTTGAAGGTGATGTCTTGAACTAGAATGGATAGATCTGTTGGAATTTGAGAAGTGGCAAACCTGCACGAGTGCACCAAAAAGATGAAACTTTGCTTAACGGTAGAACGAGTAAAAGAAACAAGAATTAGAATGCAAAGGTTGAGCCACTTTTCAATAAAAATGGTTACCATGAATGCTCTTTCTTCTCGAAGCTATCGGCTATGGCAATGAATTTGGCTGGGATTGCTATACTTTGGTTTTGAACTGAATTCGTGCCATCGAAATCACTTTCAGGGCTTTGTAGCTGAGCCATTTGGAAGAGACTTATTCTTGCTGACTCCCTCCCTCCAGACTTGTTGTTGGAGACAATTTATCTGATAGAAAGTCTTAAGAGGTGTGGGGCATAGTCTGAGTAAATGTGTGAGAGGTGAGTTTGTGGTTGGAAGGATAATAATGTTGAGATGGTTGGTGGATGCCTGGATGGTTTCTTAACTTTCTTGTCAGTTGAATGTCACGAACACCGGATAACGTTGTAGTGACAATTCATGTCGAAGATTCAGATATACACACACAGAATATTGGCCACGACAAGTCCAATTCAAACCACGTAAACGCGATCATGACCATGAGATGATTGTGTGGCTTAAATGAATGTAGATTGTTTGAACAATTGTAGCGATGTACGTGTGTTTGTGGATTCATTTCAATCCATAGACACAATGGTTCTATATTTAATGCTTGCTGGAAATGACAGTAACTGTAAATTTTGCTGATAATAAATATTGTATTTAGCAGATCTCAGTGAATGCTGCAATTTCTCGTTCGTGGGGTTAGGGTGGACTGTTTGTTATTCTACCCTTTTGTCAAATGTGTAATTTCTCCTGATATGCTGGTCCTAGGCAAACAAGCAGCACAAATTAATAGGAGCTTTGATGTTGGAATTGTAACCATCTCTTCTCCCTTCTCAGGTGTTGACAGCGACGCAGCGTGGAGCGAAGCCCGTAAGATCACTTCAGCGCGTTGATGGAGTGCAGGCATGTGTGTCTGTGCGCGCCACATTTGTACATAGCTGCTGCATCTTTCTTTGGTGCAAGTTTGTGTGCAGTTTTCTGTGTCTCCTTGTTAAAAAAACTGGTGCTTCATCTGGAGTGTTCACTGCTGAAAATGTTCAGTGAAGGCAAAGATTCATGTACAGTAGACAAAAATTAAAAAAAAAAAAAAGTTTGTCTCAATTGCCGACTGAGGAACATGTTGCTAGGGGAGCTCTAAAATATATAGGTTCAAATCTGCCGTAATGAATTGCTGTACATGCTTAGCTTATATTTGTAAAGTGAAAAAAAAAAAAAAAAAAAAATCCCCCCTCAATTTTCCTGATTTTATAATGTTGAAAAACTGACATTTTTTGACTTGAAAATTTTATAATACCCTTCTTTATTGATGAAGAAGACCTTAAATTATTTTTAAATCCATGAGTTGACCGGTAATATAAATAGGTTATACTGCTATAGAGCCTTATTTTATTTATTTATTTATTTTGTTATTAAGGGTTTTGTCATTTTACAGCTAATTTTACGAACTTAGGAGTAAGTTAAAATTTTCAAATAATTGATGGCCTTTATATCACCAGGGGTATTTGCAAAATCGTGAAATTTGATTTATGTGTGTGTGTAGAGTTCACTTGGATTATATTCAACCAACACGAGCCCAGGGCAGTTTTGGAGATCAAAGTTTGGCATAGAAGCCGTGCACTAGTTCAAGCCATAAAGTTCAAATCAATGCATACAACCATGAAGTCGGACTCAAATTCTATCACACGTGCACCATTTTCATGGAGGTGCTTCTGGTAAAAAAAAAGAAAAGAAAAAGATCACTACGAATATTTAGGATATTCATATTTATTGTAAAAAAAGGTAGCTACCTGGCTCACCTTGGTAACCTCTTTTAACGGGTGGGTGCTTCACAATTCGATTCAAAAAGTAAACTAAAAAATTTAAGTTAAGTGAAAAAAACACCGGTATATATATATTCATTTTACTTTTTATTCGGATCCGATATAACATATACCTCTCTTCTTGTAATTCATCAAGTAGGTGGGTAAGTTAACTTTCCCTTTATTTATATATGTTAAATAAGTCAATGATAAAACTTGACCTACTTTATAATTTATAGGGTAAAATGCAAAAATTCTCATGAATTATTGGAGTACCTGCAACAAATCCCCTAAATTATAAAAATTACAATAAATCTCCCTAAATTATACATGTTGTTGCTTACCGCGTCCGGCTAACATCCGGTCATATTTATAGCGCGGGACGTGCTATATGAAATACATGGACAATATTGCCCTTCCACATGTAAAAGGGGCTAAATTGACCCTATGATGCACTTCTGTCCTCTCCTCCTCCTCTTCTTCAATATTTTCTGTCTCTCACGCTCTAAAGCCGATAATCTGTGGCAACTCCACATCACTGTTGGTTGCCGAAACTGAAGACAAGTCCTAAACTGCAACTTTTGGGTTCGTTTAGTCAATGGAGAGAGATGACCGGGGCGCCAAAATTGGACTAAGAATAAATCAGTATCCCATTTTTCACATGTGTATATATATATATATGAAATCTAATTATTTCTTAATCAGTTTCTCATACATATAGAAGGTCTGATTTTTTCCATACCTAATTACCTATCTAATTAATATAGTTCTTTCTTAATTTTTTGTTGGCGCCAGAATTGAGATGAATCCGGAAGGAAAAAAGAAAAAGAAAAAAGAAAAACAGAAAGAGAGAAAGGGGAAGGGGATTAGAGAGACGGATAAATTTTTTTGGAGAGGAGGATTGTTGGTAGATAGGCGAGAAGTTTGAGCATCAACAATCAGATTGACAAGAGTTTAAGCGACTTCACCGGCGAATTTTCAAGGACCCAAATTGACATGCTGTTCCGGCGAGCTCTGAGCTTCGACGTCAATGAAAACTGGCGAGAGCTCTGGGCTTTGACTTACATGAAATCTGACGTGAGCCTGGACTGACCCAGCAGCGAGCTCCGTTCATCTAGTTCCGGTGAGTCTCGACTGACCCAGCAGCGACCTCCCTTCATTCTGCTCCGGTGAGTTTTGACTGACCCAGCAGCAAGCTCCAAGCTACCATGACCCAGTAAAGGTGAGCTTTGACAGAACCGCGAGCTCACAACCTGTATATTTTCTCCGGTGAGAAACCAAGAGTAACAGACCATAAATACCGGCGAGCTTCTTCTTGAGTTTTTATGTTTCGACGAGCATATGATATTACAGAGATGGAACCATTCCAGCCAATAGCTTACATTATGTCACATGTCGTTTCACAATTGGTGGACCATATGTCTAACTTAGTTAGCTATTGGTGGAGCCTAATTGGTTGTCTCGGTATTTTTCTTTTATGATTTTAAATTGATTGCTTGATTATTTGTCTATATGTTTAATTGTTAATTGTTTACTTATTTAAATTGAGTTATTTGTTTAGTTGAACGTATATACTTATGTGTTTATCTGTTGAAATTGAATTACTTGTTTTATATGTTAGGTGTTCACTTAATTAAATTAAATTAAATGTTATTCTGTTTATTTTTATTGTAAAAAAGAGTTGGGTTTGGAAGGTAGTAATGGACCAACTTTTTGAATTTCATAGACTACTTGGGTAGGGAATTTAAATGGGTACCGTTGCTATCCATGGATAAGAGTACATATATATTTGGGTTTATATTAATTATTAATTATATTTAATAGTTAAATTAATTATACTTTTCAGTGTATGTTATATATTATATATTATAATGGTTTAATTATTTATTTATATATATATATATATATATATATATATATATGATACCACGTTGGATTAAGGTGCCGACTTATACATATATAGTAAGTTTATAATTCTTTTTCTTTTTCCTTAAGTAATGAGATTTAGGTTAAATTAATTGTGCCTATAAATATATTGTGTTTGGTCTCCCAAGGGTTTTAGAACCCTGTTCACGAAACTGTGGAGGCAGAGAGAAGGAGCAGAGAGGTTGTGAGAAAAAGGAACGGGGGTTGCTCGGAGGTTTAGCATGAAGCAGCAGGAAGGTTCGACGGCAACCAAAGGTCGTTGGAAAATAGAGATTAATCTAGGAAAAGAAGGAGTTGGGTTTTATTCAAAACCCGAAAGACAAGTTCTATATCTTACTCCTTCCCGTAGTCCTATATTCTGTGCATACCTAGATAGTCTCAGGATTAAATTAGGCTTTAAAATTGAATTTGTATGCATATTAATTTGGAATTTTTAATTGTATTATGTGTAGTTGCTGGAAGTTGTTTTATCTTATTAATTAGGTCATCTTTTGCATTTTAAATTGGTGTTAATGATGCGTACTGTATTGTTGGGAGTTTCTGGGGTTATTTGGGACTTAGTTAGGACTATTAGAGATCTTAACCAAGAGGGTCATAAGAATTGGAAGTCGTCGGAGACGAGAAAACACGGATGGCTTCAGAACACGAATGGCTTCGGACCAATGCTTAGTGCTGAGGATTGCTAAACAAGTGCACGGATGGCTTCGGACAATGGATGGCTTCGGACAATAGATGGCTTCGGACATACGCTTGGTACTGACTATTGCCAAACCAGTGTTCGGATGGTTTCGGACAGTGGATGGCTTTGGACAACGGATGGCTTCGGACAATGGATGGCTTCGGACATGTGCTCGGTATTGATGACTACCGAATAGTTTGCATGTTGTTAATGGATATAGAGGACATAAATGTTTAATATTTATTTTAGCAATTTAAATGATTGTGACATGATTTTTAAATCTGGTATTGGATTCATAATATGGTCATATACATAATAGATTTTTATTATGCTTATTCTAGATTAGGATTGATGAACTATCTATTCCTGCTCTGTCAATTATATGGATTTTGTGGATTGTATGCACCGGTATGGGATGGTGGCATACTAAGGATGGATTAGTTCAAAATGCTAAATCCTACTTACTCTAGAATAAGGGAATGGATTAACTATATCCTACTTATATTTGTGTCAAGGCAACGAATAGTTGAGCGGCACTACCTTGGATTTGGATGGATTATATATATATATATATATATATATATATATATATATATGACTGTGGTACCACGATATGAACTTGAGTCTCAGGATCGATGGTTAGGGAGCATATATGTAGTGGGATGCATAACTGGCTATGATGGTAGAGGTGTACCCTGTTAGGTCTAGGTACTCATGCCCACTTTAGGTGCGTTTTGCATGATGCCTACTAATCAAGTTGAGGCCGCTTTATAGTCCAGTGAGAGACCTTTAGTGTGGATATATATATTTATGGACTAGATAGTAATTGTTGAGTTATCTAGGATGTATCTGCGTATCGGGTCTCTGTTTGGATTATTGTTAGATTATAACTTGTTTGTGGGCCTGACCCACTATTATCTTTTCAGGTGCTCGACAGTGCTAGTTGTAGAGATTGATTATGCTGAGCAGAGACAGTCGTTCACTCTTCCGACGACGTAGGATCTTGCTTCATACTTCTATTTTGAATTTTATTTTAGTTTAGTTATTTTATTTTTCCAGCTGGATTATTATTAGGGGTCCACTAGACGGATTCCTGATTTGTAATAGGATTGGAGGTTTTGGAGTTATGGGATAATATTATTAATACTTTGAGGATTTGTTGTTTAGAATTCTTTCAGCTTGTATAATTTTATTCCTTTAAATTCTTCTTGTAATATATGCTTGTTTATATATTAATTGTTTAGTATCCCTCGGATCTGTGCTCGGACTTGATTACCCGTGGCTTTAGAATCGAGGGATATCACAGTTGGTATAAGAACACTCCAGGTTCAGTGTCTCTAGGGTTATTTCGTATTAAGACTTCCGCGTAACGTATTCTCTTGTTTAGAGCTTAAGTTTAGGATTCGTTGTATTCCTTTACGGTTCGGTTTAAATCGTACTAATGTCTGTCTTTCTGTGTTAATAGAATGGTTAACGCTGGAAGATGACAGATTATGTAAAGAAACAGGCGGCAAAAGAAAGCGGCACATAGGCAGCAATATCTCCTATAGCGTCAGCAAATGGAGGAAGAGCAACAATTGCCTGGGTTTCAGGAAAATGATGGTCAGTTACATATAGAACAAGAGGCAGTTCAGTAAACTCAGGACAAGGCAGAGATACAGAGTATCCTCCTCATCTTAATGACCTCATTGCTCGGGCTATAGAAGCAGGGGTAACAGCTGTACTTCGGAATCAGCCTCAGATACAGCCAGTACCTATACCAGCACCAGTGATTCAAACTAATCCTTGGGAAAAGGCTAGGAGTTCTTTCACAAAGGGGAGCCCACCTGAGTTTTCAGGCTCTACCGATGCGAAATTATCTCACCAGTGGAAGAAGGATATTGAGTGACATCTTTGAATGGTTCAGTGATGAGCGCTGAAAAGTGCGTATTTAAACCCCTTAAGCTTAGGTATTCTAGTACCTTTATCTATCTTACTTTACTGTTTTAGATTGATTTCGTGTTATTTCCATTTTCAGGCACTTATCCCGAAAATAAGCTAACTCAGCCAAATAAGAGCATAAATGAAGCAATTCTAGGATGAATCAAAGAAAGGAGCCAAGTGGAAGCAAAAGGAAGCAAAATGTGTTATTCAACATCTTCGATCGATCTCAGATCAAAGTTCGATCGATCCAACATGATCGATCTCAGCACTTCAAGATGGATCTGAGCCATGATGACATTTTCAGAGATCTCAAAAGTTTAAACGATCCAACATCATTCTTCGATAGATCGAATTACCTTGTCCTTATCCAAATGATTGATCTTATCTAGTTGTACCACCCTACCAGCCACTTTTGTCCTTTTCTAAAAAAAATATCTTCAAAATATCTCAGATTTGTTTTTATCCAAAAAGGTGCCGCCATTGAGGATCGATCCAATTTCAGTTCGATAGATCTCAGCTATATTCGATCGATCCAAGTCCAAGGTTCGATCGATCGAACTTCCTCCAGTGCGAAAAGGTTAAATTTTCAGCTCATTGAAAGCTGTCCTTATCCAATCATTGGGGAATATTTGCTGCACGACCCCAGCTCATTTTGTGTGTCACTTGACCTACCTATATATAGAATATGATACACTTTTTGAGGGAGAGCCATCCATTACAATAGAGGCTATTCTTAGGGAGGAATAAATAGGGAGAAGGCTAGAGACACAAGCTTGGGAGCTCTTCATCAACTAAGGAGTAAATTTCTTCCATGGAGTTTGCCCTTAAGGGTTGGAGAAGTATTACCATGAGTGGCTAGACATCCTCTTGGGGCTAGAGTTAGCCCCAAGCATGCTTTCTACATCTTGATTTTGTGTATTATTGAGGGATTAGTGTTGTAATACATGTTTTGACATTTTTATATATATAGATCTTGTTTATTCAATGATTTATGTGGTTTAATGCTTCCAATTGATCATTTCATTCTATCTATATGTCTATGTATGTTAGAATAGATGTTCATGTATTTGTCTCTATTTCTTGTGTTATTGATGCATGTCTATGTGTATTAATGCCATAGATCTAGAGATTGTCAAAACATAATGCTTAATGGAATGCTCTTATAATTTTCTTGATGGTTCATGCTCATTTCTTGACGGATTGTGCCTCTCCCTTAGTTTAATTAGTTTAATTTCATGTCATTAGCTTAATTGTAGTGTAGTGGTAGTATAGTTGTTAGATGGGAGGACAATCCATGCTTGTTGTTTGATATTCCATACTTTTGAATGCAAGTAGCATGTGTCTCTAACCTTGTGGTGTATTTGGCTTGTGAGCTTAATGAAATGATTAATGACTTGCTAGACATATTGTGCTTTTCACATGCTACTTAGACAATATATACTTAATTGTTAGATATATTGTGCTTTTCACATGTTGCTTAGACAATATATACTTAATTGGTCATCCTTACTAATTGAATCAACCAAACACACACACACATCAATATTGCAACACATATTTCCCTCATTAGTCACTTATTAAGGGTGTAGAAAAATATTGTTTAGTGGTGACCTCTAAACCCCAAGATCTCTCTCTCTTACGTACTCTTTATTGCATTCAATTATTTAGTTTAATTTGTTCTCTAGTTTAATCAACCAACCAACTAGTTATTTGATCACTCGACCTACTAACCCTAATAGTGATTCCACAACCAAATTCAACTCCAATCCCTTGGGACGATCCCTACTCAACCTAACTATATTTTTAGTGAAGGTAGTAGTGGCTTTTATAAATGTAAAACTTGGCCCTCACCTTAATGCGCACTCTTAAGCTTATGGTAGGATGACACGACCATAGTTTTTGGCGCCGTTGTCGGGGATTAGGCAACGTCGTATTTGTGGAATCAATTAGGAATTAGTACTCTTTTGATCATGTCTTTACTTTGTTTTTATTTTTCTTTTGATTACTTATTGTGTTTGTTTATCTTTGACAAGGTGCATTGAGCTAGGAGGCAAGTAAATGAGCTACCAAGCAAAGCAAAGCTAAGCAAAGAAGGAGAAAGCTAAAAAAAAAATTTGCTAAGCTAAGCTAAATTTGGAGTTGAAGTGCTAAAGGACATTTGTGAGACTTTCTTTACTCAATCCCTTAGTTAAATCGTCGGCTCGCGTGGAGGATTGTTTTTAAATTCTTAGATAAATCGTGAGCCCGCATGGAGGCATTCTTAATTGTTCTTTGCATCATTGTTGTTAAAGCATAGGAGTATGGGTTAAGTGTATGTGGAAGAAGTTTCATTGAATTATTGTGAAGTCGAAGTGTTTGTTCATTCATTGTGTTTGTGTGTTTTGCATTGTGCATACATGGTCGTAGATCACTAAGACCAACTCTTGTCCCTCTTGATTTGCATCTTGAATCCGTAGTTAGAAATCCTAAGGGAAGAGGAAGTTCTAATTCTACCCAATCCATTACATCAATAGAAGGCCATAATGAAGAGCATGTAGAGGACCTTGGTCACATAGATCAACAAGGTATCCTCCATCCAAATGTGCATCATAATAACATGCAAGTACCATTAGGCATGCCAAGGCTATATGTTCATCCACCACAACAACAAGGCCAAGTTCTATTGGGAATGCCAAGGCTAATCTATGCTCCACCACCTCCCATCATTCAAGGCAACCAAGGTACCCATGTTACACCTCAAATCACTAATCCTTCACTTGCTTTAAGAGATCAATATGTGTCTAATGAATATAATGCACCCACATGCATTCAATTGCCACCATTTAGAGCACATCACTATGAAATTAAGCTACAAACCATTCAAATGCTTCCTAACTATCATGGACTTCCAAGTGAAGAACCTTACAAGCATTTGGATGAGTTTCTAGAAGTTTGTTCCACCGTAAAATATACGGACATGCCAGAAGAGGTCTTAAGACTCAAACTTTTTCCATTCACCCTTAAAGACAAGGCAAAATATTGGTTCAACAATCTTAGGCCTTTTTCAATCACTTCTTGGGCAGAAATGCAACAAGAGTTCTTGAAAAAGTACTATCCGGTTTTTAAGACCAATGCCATGAGAACTTCCATTAGAGAATTCACTCATGGGGATGGAGAAACATTTCATGAGGCATGGGAACGCTTTAATGAATTGCTTAGGAAGTGTCTACATCATGACATGCCCAAATGGCAATTAGTTCAATATTTCTTTGAGAGCTTATCGGATAATCATAAGGATGACGTGTGGCGTCTTTATGAGAGCATGAGTGAAAATTCTTTGCATAGAACATTATCATCCAAGAATGGTAGAAATTCACAAGGTAGGAAGAGTGTTGGCTTATATCAAGTCAACCACTCAAATGAAATAGCCATCAAAATGAAGTCTTTATCTCAAAGGTTTGATCAATTTTTGATTAACCAAAACTCGGCGAACCAAGTATCTTCCTTCCCTAACCATTCTCATCGTGCATTGAATGAATCATGTATGACTTGTTCTAGTGTTCTTCATTTTACTTCTCATTGTCCTCACAGACAAGTGCAAAATGAACCTAATGAACAAGTCAATGCAGCTTTTGTGAACCAAGGAACAATCCTTATGGTACTCATTATAATCCAAGTTGGAGAAATCATCCGAACTTCTCTTGGAAAAACCAAGGAGAGGGCTCAAACCCTTCCCAAGGCGGTTTTCAAGGGAAGTATATTCCACCTCCACTTCAAAGCCAAGGATCCCAAGGTTATAGACCTTATCAATCACAAGGGAATCAATTTGCTAACTCTCATTTTTCCAACCAATCTTATTCCCAAGGAAATGCTAGAAGTCCCGCCTTTGAAGAAAAAGTTTTGAATGCTTTGGGCACTCTTGAGGCAAACACACAATTGCTTCATTCCCACTCTTAATCTATTGCGAAGCTAGAAACCCAAGTAGGGCAAATAACAAGCACTCTTAATGCAAGAGAGAAGGGAAAGATGCCTATAAATGCCCCACCTAAGCAACAATGTGTTGTGGAAACCTATTCCTCATCGAAAGGCCACACCATTGAGCATATTAATGCGGTGATTACCTTATGGAGTGGAAAGATTGTGGACAACAAAGTGGGTGTGTCCAATGAAGAGAGTGAACCGGTACAACCTCAAGTTGTCACCCATCCCGTTTCACATCCCATTCCTCCTTCATTGCATATACATGATCTTGTGAATGAGAAAACTTCAAAATGTGATTTGAAGAATGATTTTGAAAATGATTTGAAGAAAGATTTGCCGAAAAATGAATTTGAAAAGGTTTTGTTGAAAAATGATTTGAAAATTTTTTGTGTTGAAGAGTTTTCAAAAGAAAATGCTGAAAAAGTTTTTGAGCCAAAAGCTCCATTTTCGGATGCCTTGAAAGGGTCCATCTCGAAAGATAAGCAAAAGGCAAAAACCAATGAAATCATGGAAATGTTTAGGCAAGTGAAAGTCAATCTTCTACTTTTGGATGCAATCAAGCAAATTCCGGCTTATGCCAAATTCTTAAAAGACTTATGCACCCAAAAGCGAAAGAATAAGAGCCAAGCACCAAGAAAAGTGGTTTTAACTGAGCAAGTGAGCACAATTTTGCAACATAACACTTTACCAAAGTTTAAGGACCCCGGTTCACCTACCACATCATGCATCATTGGTGATCATATCATTAATCAGGCGCTTCTTGACTTAGGAGCAAGTGTTAACCTTCTTCCATACTCGGTTTATGTCAAATTAGGCCTAGGTGAATTGAAACCGACGTTGGTAGTTTTACCAACTTGCCGACCGATCCATTAAGAAGCCTAGGGGTATCATCGAGGATGTATTGATTAAAATTAACAAATTTTTCTTCCCCGTTGATTTCGTTATCATTGACACGGAACTGGTCCCCAATCCTAAAAGCCAAATTCCCGTTATCCTTGGCCGTATTTTCTTAGCAACCGCTAATGCCAACATCAATTGTATGACGGGGATAATGAAAATCTCATTTGGCCACATAAAGGTGAAGTTGAATATCTTCAATCCCACACCCAGCTCATTTGACAAATATGAAGGAGAGGTTAATGTTGTAGATAAATGCTATGATCTTCAATGTCAAGGAAGTGAGCTTTTGTGTAAGACCAAAACTTCAAAGGGATCATCTTCAACCTTGCATTCTCAAAGTGTTGTTTTAAATTCTTGCTTTGAAAGGGCATGGAAGCCAAAAGATTGTAATTGCATTGACAAGGGATCAAAAGTTTCTTTTGAGCTAAATTCAACAAGTTCTTCAAAGAACCATTTGTTGGGTGGAGTTCAAAGCATCTATCACCCCAACATGGAAGGGATGCATTACAAGATCTTTGATCTGGGCTAAAAGAGCCCAACGTCTTGCTAGAGACGTTAAAGACTAGCACGACATTTCGTAGGGTGTCAAAACCCTATTCCTCCCTCATTTCTATCTTTAATTTCATTTCTTGCGAAGTCTAGATACTTGTTTTTTGTCCATATGCATTAGAAGGAACAGTGGTTAGGATTACATGAGCTTACATGTTGGAGTTGAGCATTTTGCATAAGTTTGATCGATCTCAAAGGAGAGTTCGATCGATCGAACTTCTACCTGTATCCAACATTTAGAAAAAAATTTGACCTGTATCCAACTGCATCCAAATCACCTCTCTGTCACATCGTTCGAACTTGTTCTCAAATCGATCATAACTTTTTCGATCGATCCAAACCTCAAGTTCGATCGATCTTAAGTTCCAACACTTAGCCAAATTTTTGAACCAAAAATCTGCATACTTTTAGCCCTCTGTCAGATCAATCTCTGTTCTTCAATTCACTATATTAACTTTTGTTTGACTTTATTTTCAACTTTTAATTTTTAAAATACCAAAAAGATTTTCTTTTATTTACTTAATTTTTCAAATTAAAAAAAAATAATAAAAAAGAAGAGATTTTACTTTATTTATTTCAAAAATCCAAAAAGATTTTATTTTATTTTTATTCTTATTTTTCAAAAATCCAAAAATATTTTCTGTTTTCAATTTTTAATTTTTAATTTTAGTTTTTAATTTTTCAAAAATTTCAAAAAATCCAAAAATACTTTGAAGAGAGATCATTACAGTTCGATCAATCTGAAATCTCAGTTCGATCGATCGAACTGGACGGGAACAGTTTTTAAAAATAGAACTCGAGGGTCTCAAGATCGATTCATTAGATCGATCTCACCCTCTCTCATTCTCAACCCTCGTCCTTCATCCTTCATCGCCGCTGCATCCATCCATCTTCACCATCTCCGGCTAATCTCCGGCGAGATCCAGTGAGCTTCGACTCTCTCTCTCTCTCTCTCTCTCTCTTCTCGGATCTTACCCCTTCGTATCTCATCTCCACTTCTCTTATATTTTGAGTAAGATCTAAACTTTATCTTTGATTTCAAGCTTCAAGTTGTTAAATAGATGTTTTAAATGTTGAATCCATGATATATTGATGATGATTTCCTCCATTGATGAAGCTTGAGGCACTATGTATAAATGTGTATATATATGTTTATATGTTTTGTATATATTTGAGTTTTGATTTGATTTATGGGAGTATGGGCTGAATCAAGTGAGTAATATTGATTGTTTGTTGTGTTGATGGGCCCACGACCATGTCGTGAAGGCCCCGTGTCATCCATGTCACAGATCTGTGACTTTTTGATTTTCTCATCGCACAGTTCGATCGACTAAACTTCTATCTCAGATCGATCTTTAAAGATCAATCGAACTCAGTTTTTCAGTTTCTCAGATCGATCGAAGTTTTGAGATCGATCTCACATTTTTTATGATCGATCGAACTTCACAAATTTCATATATACATTCCATGCATCTTATCTTGTGTCATACTATCTTATATATGCCCAATGCCTGTGATATTCCACATTGGATGCATTTTACACTTATACTGCTTAGCATGTTTACATCCTGTCACTTGTATAGATTCATGTCATATATGTTTTGTCTATCTTATTTGACATGCATGTTTTTATTTTGTACTTTCAATTTTTTATTCTGGCACTAACTCCCGTTGTAAGTTTTTCTTTTTCTTTTGACAGGCCATGATTAGGACAAAAACTGTTGCCAGGAGGTGATATGGGCCTCAGAGACGTATCAGACCTAGGATAGAGGAGCTAGCACAGCCCTCTCATACACAGGAGGAGCCATTAAAGCCTACTTCACCTCAGTCACCTTCTCATGAGGCTAAGGCTGATCATATTCCATCTCCATCACAGGATGAGGATGAGGTTAAGCATTCTCCATCTCCTTCTCAGGCTCAGGCTGCATTTACACCATCACCATCTCCACCACACCAGCCACCTCAGCCAGCTCGAGAGCGTGACAGGCCATTGCCCAGATATGCATAGATGTCAGTGGCCCATGAGTCAGTTTTCGACACAGACTTCTTCTCCAGATCGGTGCTAACCCAATTAGCTTATGATGATATTATCCAGAGGGGCCTTGCAGCTATTCTTGCCCTAATTACTGAGCCAGTCTACCTGTGGCTAGTTCGGATGTTCTTCCGGAACCTCCGACCGTCCCCGCGTACCACAGTAGAGTTGGTCACCACCATAGATGGCCACTAGATTTCTATTATTGTGGACACACTAGCCAGATCATGCCATTGTCCACACCGATGCCCTCTGGAGCTACATGAGCTTTATCCCAAGCTATACAGGCCTTCTTATGCCGACATGACAGTTTTCTTGATAGGTCACTATGCCGATGGCGAGACTTTCACCACCTACACTTATCTTCCAGATGACCTATGGTTCTTTGATTCTGTTATCTTTCGGAACATATATATGGCCGGGCACAAGATTCAGCAGCGAGGAGACTATCTGACAGCCCTCTACACATTCTACATGGGGCACTGGGTATCTATCCCTGCACTCATCTGGAGCATGATGAGGAAGCTCTATGATGAGCATATCAGCAAGAAGAGACCCAAAAGGGCTAAGTCTCTCCCATTTGGCCACCTCATCACTCAGATCCTACTAGACCAGCGATATCATTTCCATCCTCAGGAGCACGCTGAGAGAGGTTCCTGTCACTTTTTGAAGAAGGACTGGGACAAGAGCTATAATGCTATTATTGCCCGATTACAAGAGGATGCAGCTCAGGCGGCAGAGGACTTAGATTTAGATGATTTAGAGGCTGAGGCCCCAGCAGCAATAGCAGACCCGGTAGTGGATGACGCACCAGTTGATCCAGTTGTTGAACGTATTGATATTGATTTAGAGCGACCTGCAGATGATGTAGAACAACACTCTCCAGCTGGATCACCCATTCATGCAGAGGAGCAGACTTAGGATCTTTCTTCTGATTCATCCGTACTTGAGGCTCCTAGTCAGACCCCCGGCTTTGGAGAGCGTCTTCAGGCTCTAGAGGATGCAGTGGTTGCTATCAGAGCTGATACTGCTACCATTCGAGCCGATGCTGTGGCCCACCGAGCTGATTTTGCTACATTCCGCACGGATGTCATGACTGCACTCAGAGACTTATCTCACGATATCCGTGGAGCTCGCCCTACCAGTCCTACCCGACCTACCTGAGATTCTCACTCCTTCTACCTCTCTATACTCCATCTCTCTGATTCATATCTATTACTTTCATCACTGTATATTATTTGCAGCCAGATATGTCAGCTTTGATCTTTTGATGTACTCTATACTTTATTTTCTTTATTTATGTTTTTGCTATGGATGTCATCTATTATGTTCTTATATCTATCTGTTTGACTCCATCAGGTGCATCCAATGACTACAGTGAGAGAGAGTGCTACATAATTTTCAGGACCACCCTTATACCTCTCTCACTGCTTTATTTCATTTACACTTGCATGTCCACTGTGCACTGATTATCCCTTTTGTTATCTGATGAATTTATCTAAGTGCCCAATTTCAAGACCATAGTTAATCCCAAGTTTGGGGCGGCTATGCCACCCACTTTGGATACTTCAGTTCTAGCCATTCTTTGCCTTAATGGCACCGGTATACTCTTTCCTTTTGTTCTCTTTGCACATTAAGGACACTGTGCCGTTTAAGTTTGGGGGTAATAATGTATGTTATAGTGTTTGTTTTTAAATTCAAAATTTTGAGCATGACTTGTGTATTTGAGAGATTTTCTATGATTGGTCCATATTAGCGATGATTTTGATCTTTTGAGGACTATATTGCTTAA